ATATATACATAATAAGTACACAAAAATTGTATTACTGATTATTTAAAATACTAGATAATTGCAAAAATAATGGCACATAATTCATTAAATAATTTCGATGTGAAATCTGTTTTGTAGAAAGTAAAATCTATAATTTATCAAACTCGTATGTTGTCTTTTAAAAATTTAAAATAGAAATTTATGAAAAGTTTTGTATGTCATACTTACTGCCATTAGTTTTATTCCTCTCATTTCCTTTTGCAAGCTTTTGATACCAGATGACATCGTATATGGTTCCGGTTATTGTCATAAAAGAAAATATTAAAACTACACTGCAAATAGAATAATTCTTTTATTAATTTTTTATACTTTTACATAATTAATGTAAAACTTATTTATAATATTTACGTATGCTGTTAATGTCTGTAAAATTGTTATTATATGAGTGAAATAATTTGCATGTTTTTCGAAACGTACCAGAGGATACCTAATGAACTGTAGGATAGCGATTTAATGTCGTCTTTTAAATCTTTAATTTGGATCAGCTGTAAATTTGCGGAATAAAGATCGTCGATGAAGATACTTCTATCACGAAGTATACTTTCCAATATGAAACTTAAATTCTCTATGGTGCACGATGCTGGTAAACAGAGTCCGAGCGTAATCACATACTAAAATAAAATTTTTTATATATTTGAATATCAAATAATATTACGTTTAATTATTAAAAACATAATATTTCAAAAGATCCTCTTGATCATATTTTATGTTTATAATAAATTTTAGTCGACCTTATCTGGCATGTGTTTAATGTATTTAAAAATTGGATATACAAGCGACGTTTCGACCATCGGTTCTGGTCCTTCTCAAGCCATTACTAAAATAATTGTATAAATAGAATGACACATAGATATAATTTGTTAAATAAATAAATATATATAATATGATAAATATGTATAAATATGATATGGTTTGTCCACGTGGATACATAAAACAAAATTTGAATAGATCAAACGTCGGTCTCACCTTAATTAAAAACCTTCCTTCATGAGTCACAATTATAAAAAAAATTTTTTATTCGTCTATCGAGTCACAATCATAAAAATTCTGTTCGTATATCGCAAGACATGTAGGTATTCTACGATGGATGGAGAGTGACTGTCGTAAATATCGACTAGCTGGCCCGTGTAGGTCAAAAAACATCGAGAAGAAGAGAGTGACACATACATAACAGTTCATGTCATAGAATTAATAATAGAATCTGGCTGACATTGTGTTAGACGACTTAGAGTCCAGTTGCTTACAGTCTTTGGATTTCGAAATTCCCCTTTTTCACAGATATGTTGACGATATCTCTGCTATCGTGCCGTCCAACAAAATTGACACAATTTTAGACGTTTTCAATAAGTACCACCCGAAATTAAAATTCACCATGAACTAGAAACAAATAACTCCATCAATTTTTTAGACGTTGGCGTCATCAGAAAAAACAACCAACTATTGACCAATTGGTATCGAAAACCAACATTTTCGGGACGATACACGAATTTCTTCTCCAACCATCCCCTCCAATACAAACTTAACACGATCACAAACCTAGTAGATCACGCAATTTTATTATCAGACAGCAGATTTCATGACTCTAATATTTCTATTATAAAGAACATTTTACTCAATAATTGTTTTCCCAATCACATAATTGACAAATACATTAACAAAAGACTCAAACAATTACAAGACTCCTCTCTAAACTCAGAAAACACATTCGACATAAGAACTTGCATCACCATACCGTACATCAAAGGCACTAGCGAAAAGATACGTCAAAGTCTAACAAATATAGGTCTAAACACAATTTATACCGTCCAAAAAAAACTAAACAAACTAATAAGAAAAGGCAAGGATCCTTTATGTGATTCCAAAAAAAAAACAGAATTAGTCTACAGACTAAACTGCAAAGACTGCAATGCAACATATGTCGGCCAGACAAAAAGACATCTGGAGACGAGAATCAAAGAACACATCAATAATATAAAAAAGACTGATGAGAACCAGTCAGTCGTCAGTAAGCACCGCGCGATATTAGGACACGAATTCAATTGGACTCATCCAGATGTCCTACATCGAGAAAAACACATCAGAAGAAGAGAAATCGCTGAAATGCTACACATAAAAATGGATCCGAACACCATTAATTCGAAGAAAGACACCGAGAATCTTAACTCTATTTATGATTCTATTATTAATTCTATGACATGAACTGTTATGTATGTGTCACTCTCTTCTTCTCGATGTTTTTTGACCTACACGGCCCAGCTCACGGTCTTATACACAGGTCGGGACACTCATGGAATAAAGCGTGCTCGAAATGACGCCAATATGGCGGTCAGCTCAGGCCTAAAGGTGCAATTTCACGTGACTTTTCGACGTAGTGGGGGAAAAAGTTGACAGATATTTAAATATACATCATAAAAATTTTTCTGTCAACTTTTTCCCCCACTACGTCGAAAAGTCACGTAAAATTGCACCTTTAGGCCTGAGCTGACCGCCATATTGGCGTCACTTTGAGCACACTTGAAAGCATGTAGCCGGTATAGGAGTGTCCCGACCTGTGTATAAGACCGTGGCCCAGCTAGTCGATATTTGCGACAGTCACTCTCCATCCATCGTAGAATACCTACATGTCTTGCGATATACAAACAGAATTTTTATGATTGTGACTCGATAGACGAATAAAAAATTTTTTTTATAATTGTGACTCATGAAGGAAGGTTTTTAATTAAGGTGAGACCGACGTTTGATCTATTCAAATTTTGTTTTATAATCCACGTGGACAAACCATATCATATTTATACCTATTTATCATATTATATATATATATTTATTTAACAAATTATATCTATGTATCATTCTATTTATACAATTATTTTATTAATGGCTTGAGAAGGACCAGAACCGATGGTCGAAACGTCGCTTGTATATCCAATTTTTAAATACATTAAACACATGCCAGATAAGGTCGACTAAAATTTATTATATTTATTATCACTGGCAACCTTAAGAGACCCCTAATATTTTATGTTATTTCGTTTTATGGAGATTTTATAAACTTACCTCGTTATTTACATATGTGTGATATTGAATATCACTATTGTGTCTAATATTAGCTGCAAAATAATTTATTTTAAAAGGCGGAAAATTTTGCGGACCATGATACAAAGTGTTATTTAATATTTTTTGTTTTGACATATGTAGAGGACTTGTATTCATTGTATCGAGACACTGGCTACGACTGCCCAGCCAAAAGTTGTTTCCGTAAAGAAAACCTGGTTTAAATCCACCGTTGGAATCTAACACTTAAACATAAAAATTATTATTACTTACATTATTATTTACACAAAATAAAGAAATATTAACTGTTGTTCGTTATTAGTCACTCAATGTTTCTATTAATCGTAGGTCTAAATAAATGTAAACGGTGACCTCGTATATTTTGCAGTATCAGTATCTCTAATACACCAGTTAAGTTGATAATAAAAAAAATTAAAAAGTTAAAAGTTAAATGTTTTGTTGGTAATTACGCATAAAACTCCCTACAGATTTTATTTATTTTTAAAAATGTTGGGAGTAAGTAATTTTATATGTATACATATACATATAAGTCGGACTCAAATAATTTCGAAAGAAGATATAAGCTAAAAAAGGGTAAAAATAATAAGTACAAAAATAAGCATTTGATAATAATTTATTCAACATTATCATTAAGAATTGGAAAGATTTCAGCCATTGCATAGAAAAATGCAGTAATCCGAGTATCAAAGTTATATTTACGACGAAATAGAAATTCAGCAAGGTATATCCTACATATTTTTGACGTGTTTTGTAGCGAGGAATATTAGCACGTGTATCTCGCCAGGTACGCTCGATATTTTGTGTGTGAGCACCGCTATCAGGACTGATGAAATTCATCTTATGTGTATGATTTACTTTAAGATGTTTAAACTCACAATCATTCAAACAATTATATGATCTCCAACTATCTGATTTGCATTAAAAAGTATATGTGTGGAGGCAGTATGTTCCGCCCCTTCCCCCTGCGGGGGGCTGCACTACTGAAAAACTAACCATACCCACACCTATACACATAGGACGCGATTTCGCGTCGCGTATATAAAGTTAGGAAACCATTTACAACTCTCTAACTCACACTATACAGAATATGGCCGATTTCATATGCAAACAATTTCACGTGAGTTCGAGAATCAAAACCCCATATACTGGCTGTGTACCAAAATTCAATACACATTTCAGTTCCAAATATACATACGCAGTAGATGTTGGAGCTGGCAGTGAATTGTGAAACACAGAGACTGCCAATTTATGGTATAGCTAACTTTAAGGCCCGGTTTTTCATTTTCTGGTTAATTGTTAACCAGAGGTTAGTCGACTCTCTGTCTCTTCTCAGATAATAACATAGAAAAAGATGCAGAGTCGACTAACTTCTGGTTAATTGTTAATCACAAGTTAGTCGACTCTCTATCTTTCTTTATATTCCCATACAGCACAAAAA